TTGGTAGTTTTGCCAGAGGCTGTTTCCTGATTGTGCTAATACAGACACAACTCTGTGTCAAAATTTGAAAAACCCTATACTAAAATGGTGGGTTTGTTTTGCTGTGTCTTTGGAGTGGACAGAAGGAAGAAAAGAGTTGGGTTTGGGATGGTTATTATGTTGAACAGTTGCTGTTAGTGCGTCAGGTGTACACACATGGCTAATTTTAAAAGTATTTTGTAGGGACAAGTCTCCTGTGTTGCCCAAGATGGTCTTGAACTCCTGGCCTCCAAGTGATCCTCCTGTCTCACCTCCCAAAGTGGTTGCATTGCATTTTATGCATGTGTTAAGGTTGGTAGAACTGAGGCTGGGTGCAGTGGCTCATGCCTATAATCCACCACTTTGGGAGGCTGAGGCAGGCAGATTGCTTGAGCTCAGGAGTTCAAGACCAGCTTAGGCAAGGTGGTAAGCCCGTCTCTGCAAAAATACAAAAATTGGCTGGGCATGGTGGCTCACACCAGTGTAGTCCCAGCTACTTGGGAGGCTGAGGTGGGAGGATTGCTGGAGCCTGGAAGGCGGAGGTTGCAGTGAGCTGAGATCACACCGCTGCATCCAGCCTGAGCAACAGAGGGAGGAGACACTGTCTCAAAAAAAAAAGAAAAAAGAAATTGTAGAACTGTCTGAAAAAAAAGTCAATTTCCTGGACGATCAATTTTTAAAGCGTTATAATCAAAGAAAGAAACACCAGCAATCCTAGAAGCATTTGAGCCCTCAAAGAGCCTCACACCTGGTCCCTAGGGAGGTGGTGGGTGGGCGGGGCCTGTGTGACTCCTGCATTTCATACCTCCTACCTTCTGCATGTGTTACCTGTTTGAATATATATAATATTATAAAAAGAACTTTAAAACTTTTTCAAGACATCTTGCAGAGCACAGGTTGCAAATCTCGGCTGTGCGCAGTGGCTCACACTTGTGATCCCAGCACTTTGGGGCTGAGGCAGGTGGCTCACCTGAGGTCACGAGTTTGAGACCAGCCTGGTCAACATGGTGAAACCCCATCTCTACTGAAAATACAAAAATTAGCCAGGTATGGTGGCACACTCCTCTAGTCCCAGCTACTCCAGAGGCTGAGGCATAAGGATTGCTTGAACCAGGAGGTGGAGGTTGCAGTGAGCCGAGATGGTGCCAGTGCACTCTAGCCTGAGCTACAGAGCAAATTCCATCTCAAAAAAAAAAAAATTGCAAATCTTGAATTGTAGGTGAGAGCACACAAAGTCCAAATCAGCAGGTGACTTTCAAGCACACAGCAACCACCTTCCTTCCCCTGATGCGAAGGACGGTGGGGTGTGGCACCTTAGGACCACCATCTGGAAGGTGTCCTTTTTTTTTTTCCCCTTACATACACTTATTCCGTTATTATATACACACATTTATATACACTTAAACCTATTACATAAATTGCTATCACCTTTTTTAGAACAGAGGGTCTCATCTGTTTGTGCAGGCTGGAGTGCAATGACGCGATCTCAGCTCACTGCAACCTTCACCTTTCAGGTTCAAGCTTGATTCTCGTGCCTCAGCCTCCCAAGTAGCTGGGATTATAGGCGCGTGCCACCATACCCAGGTCATTTTTGTGTTTTTAGTAGAATGAGGTTTGCCCATGCGTTAGCCAGGCTTCTTTCTTGAACTCCTGACCTCAAGTGATCCACCTATCTCGGCCTCCCTAAAGTGCTGGGTTACAGCCGACTACCGCACCTGGCCTTCATTTAATTTTTAATTTTAGAGATGATTTCTAGTTTATTCACTCTAAGATAAGTTAATGGATATCTACTGTGTGCCAACAATTTTGCCTTTATGTATGTTCTTTAAAACTGGCCCCAGCTCAACAGATGGCCCTCAGATGTGAATGAATGGCAGTGTGTTAGCTGAGAAGGCTTTCGCGGTTTCCAAGCTCCTTGAGCGACCGTGCCTACGTATTTTGTGTCATTCTAAATCTGTTTGATTTTTAAAATGGTTTTTGAAAAGTTAAATTCTAGCTTTTTGTTTTGTTTTAGGAGATAATTCCCTCCAATTAAACCAAATGCACAGGAAGAATCTTCATGAATGTGACAAATTGATTTGCTGACGGAAGCATAAGAAGCATTCGGAACTTCGACTCATGCAGAAGGTAGAGCCTGGACTCACTCTGGAGTGAGCAGGCTGGCTACATACCTGGCCCTGCACTGGTTTGTTTTTTAAAAGAGAAGTAGATTTAGGGGGATGCAGGTGCAGTTTGTGTGGATGTACCGTGAGGTGGTGGAGTCACAGAGCTTTTCCGTCACCCCAGTCGTGTATGTTGTACCCAGCAGGTAATTGCTCACTCCCACCCTCCCGGCACAGACCCCAGTCTCTGTTAGTCCACTCCGTGTGGCACGATGTACTCTGACAATTCAACTTTACTTCAAGTAAGAATGTGACACTTGACCTTCTAGTCACTTAGGATAGTGACCTCCTGTTCCATCCACGTGGCTGCAGAGAAGACATGATTGCGTTATTTTTTATGGCTGAGTATTTCATGGTGTTTATATACCACATTTTCTTTGTCCGGTCATCCGTTGATGGGCACTTGGAAGTTGATTCCATGACTTTGCTATTTGTGACTAGTGCTGCGATAAACATCGAGGCTCCACCAGTATCGAGGTAAACAGCAGTAGGACGTACTCCTCACCCTTATCAGAATATGAAAGAGACCAGGAGAGCCTGAACTATATACAGAAGTGCACTTTTCACATAGAAGGTCAGCAGGCTTAGGGCAGAATTAGTGACTGTTGCTTGGCCAGGACAGCCTTCTCTGGTTCACTCGTGTGTGCTTGGGCGTGACCTCCGTGCCCTGACCGTCACGGGCTGTCATGGATGAGTCACAGGCGTGGAGGAGAGGAGCAGCAGGACTGCCGGAGAAGCTCAGTCCCCAGCGGGGGTGTCAGCTTTCTCTTAGCAGCAGGTTTTCCTGGAGTTCAACAATACTGGTGCCCATCTCAGGCCCTGTTGATCATGTCATCATGCCTGGCTTCCAGCAGCTTGGAAATGTATCTTTCGCCGGGCCTGTGGCTGCCTGAATATACTCAGAAGAGAGAGAGGGAGAGTGGGCGGTAGGTGAAACTGATGTGTGCGGCCTGTGCTGCTGGGAGTCGGTCCCATAGGACCGTCTGTGACGATGGAAATGTTCCGGTGTTTGCCGTCCAGTGTGGCAGCCATTAGCCACAGAGGGCTGTGGAGAACTTGATATATAGTCAGTCCTAAGAAACTGAATTCCTCTAATAACAAGGATTCTTGTCCATGAATGAGATCTCTTGTCTACTATTTGCAGAATTTCTCAATATTTCCTAAAAAATTCTGACTACTTTAGTCCTGTTCTGAAAGGCGTTTGGTGTTAAGACACAAGAGAACAGGTTCCCTGCTGACATTTTCAGAGAGGCCTGTGCCCTTCAGTCCTGAAGTGAGGCTGGGCTTGAAGGGAGGCTTTGTGGGCAGTGCCCATGGTCTGGTGAGAGGCTGCAGGCTGGAGGAGGCTTTGTGGAGACGATTGCCCTTCAGTCCTGAAGTGAGGCTGGGCTGGAGGAAAACTGTGGAATGGTGCCCTTCAGTCCTGAAGTGAGGCTGGGCTTGAGGAGACTTTGTGGAGGCAGGTGAGAAGAACAGCGTGACTAAGGCACAGAAGGCTAAGGGATGCCCTGCAGTACTTTTGTGAGGGTTGGAGAGGCCAGCTTTGAGAGAAGGAACCATTGCATTAGAGAATGGGAACATGCCTTAGGATACAGAAATGGCAAATCCGTGAGACAGTTTGAAGTGAGAATATAGAAACATTCTCACCAAACAAGGTGTCTTAGTGCCTGCTGTATCGCAGGCTCCGTGAGATGCTGGAGTCAGCACTGAACAAACGGTGCTTGTGGAAATGCGTTTACGTTGGGGGAGGGATTTTCTGCTGACTCTAGCTATTAGTAAGAATCAAAAGAAATGGGAGTGGGGTGTTGAGAACAGGCCCCAAATCTGGCCATAAACTGGCCCCAAAACTGGCCATAAACAAAATCTCTGCAGCACTGTGACATGCTCAAGTGGTGGCCATGACACCCACGCTGGAAGGCTGTCAGTTTACTGGAATGAGGGCAAGGAACACCTGGCCCACCCAGGAGCTGAGAGAAAACCGCTTAAGGGTTTCCTAAACCACAAACAGTAGCATGAGCAATCTGTGCTTAAGAACATGTTCCTGCTGCAGATAACTAGCCAGACCCATCCCTTTGTTTCCCATAAGGAATACTTTTAGTAAATCTTATGACTGGCTTATTGTCAGTAAATCGTGGGTAAATCTCTGTTAAGGCTCTCAGCTCTGAAGGCTGTGAGATCCTGATTTCACCGCGCGCTATATTTCTGTGTGTGTGTCTTTAATTCCTCTAGCTGCTGGGTTGGGGTCTCCACGACCAAGCTGGTCTCAGCAAGCAGCGCCCATATGTAGGAGTTCAGACCAGGTCAAAGGGTCACTGGAGTGGCCGGAGAACATGCAACTAAGCTAGAGGACACCCGAGTACTCTTAAGCCATCCCCATGGTGAATAAGAGGAGCTCGGAAGCATCATGGTAACAATGGGACAAGTGTGGGCTCTGGTTAGATTACCTTTCACGCTAATAATAAGGGAAGGAGAGTATAGCGAAGTAACAGAAGAAGTAACAGAGCAGGCTTGTTTGCCAGCTAAAGCTAAAGTGGCAAGGAGGAGTTCATCCCTGCCTTCTGTACCCCCTCCTTATTTTGAAGAAAAGAGTGACCTGACCCTCCAGATCTTTGTTTTCCAGAGGACACTGGGCGACAAGTAGTTGCTCCAGTGACTGTTCGTGGCCATACTCGGCGACCGCTCTCAGTTCTATTCAGGCAGGAATTCAGCAAGTTAGAAGAGAGGTGATAGAGAAGCTTGTCAGTTCCTGTTAGAACACACCCCACAGGTCAACGAAAAATATTTTAGCTGCATTTGAGCCTTTCCCTTTAAATTAGTCTTTGTGGAACGGTGAGAAGAACAGCGTGACTAAGGCACAGAAGGCTAAGGGATGCCCTGCAGTACTTTTGTAGGGTTGGAGGCCAGCTTTGAGAGAAGGAACCATTGCATTAGAGAATGGGAACATGCCTTAGGATACAGAAATGGCAAATCCGTGAGACAGTTTGAAGTGAGAATACTAGAAACATTCTCACCAAACAAGGTGTGTCTTGGTGCCTGCTGTATCGCAGGCTCCGTGAGATGCTGGAGTCAGCACTGAACAAACAGTGCTTGTGGAAATGCGTTTCGTTGGGGGGAGGGATTTTTCTGCTGACTCTAGCTATTAGTAAGAATCAAAAAAAGAAATGAGGTAAATTGTTGGGAACAGGCCCCCAAATCTGGCCATAAACTGGCCCCAAAACTGGCCATAAACAAAATCTCTGCAGCACTGTGACATGCTCGTGGTGGCCATGACACCCACGCTGGAAGGCTGTCAGTTTACTGGAATGAGGGCAAGGAACACCTGGCCCACCCAGGGCGGAAAACCGCTTAAGGGTTTCCTAAACCACAAACAGTAGCATGAGCAATCTGTGCTTAAGAACATGTTCCTGCTGCAGATAACTAGCCAGACCCATCCCTTTGTTTCCCATAAGGAATACTTTTAGTAAATCTTATGACTGGCTTGTTGTCAGTAAATACGTGGGTAAATCTCTGTTCGAGGCTCTCAGCTCTGAAGGCTGTGAGATCCCTGATTTCCCACCCCACGCGCTATATTTCTGTGTGTGTGTCTTTAATTCCTCTAGCGCTGCTGGGTTAGGGTCTCCACGACCAAGCTGGTCTCAGCAAGCAGCGCCCATATGTGGGGTTCAGACCCAGGTCAAAGGGTCACTGGAGTGACGGAGAACATGCAACTAAGCTAGAGGACACCCGAGTACTCTTAAGCCATCCCCATGGTGAATAAGAAGGGGAGCTCAGAAGCATCATGGTAACAATGGGACAAGTGTGGGCTCTGGTTCGTTACCTTTTCACGCTAATAATAAGGGGGAAGGAGAGTATAACGAAGTAACAGAAGAAGTAACAGAGCAGGCTTGTTTGCCAGCTAAAGCTAAAGTGGCAAAGGAGGGAGAGGTTCATCCCTACCCTTCTGTACCCCCTCCTTATTTTGAAGAAAAAGAGTGACCTGACCCTCCAGATCTTTATTTTCCGGAGGACACTGGGCGACAAGTAGTTGCTCCAGTGACTGTTCGAGCAGCGCCTCGAGCGACCGCTCTCAGTTCTATTCAGGCAGGAATTCAGCAAGTTAGAAGAGAGGGTGATAGAGAAGCTTGTCAGTTCCCTGTTAGAACACACCCCACAGGTCAACAGGGAAATATTTTAGCTGCATTTGAGCCTTTCCCTTTAAATTACTTAAAGAGTCTAAACAGGCTGTCAATGAACATGGACCAGGTTCTCCTTTTGTAATGGGACTGCTAAAGAATGTTGCTGTTTCCAGTCGGATGATTCCTACTGGCTGGGACGCTCTTACTCGAGCTCAGTTCTTAAAATTTAAAACTTGCTGGGCAGATGAAGTTTCCATTCAGGCTGCTTGCAACGCCCAGGCCCAACCTCAAATTAATGTGACTGCAGACCGACTTTTAGGGGTCGCGGCTGGGCTGGTTTAGATGCACAAGTGGTCATGCAGGATGATGCCATAGAGCCGCTTAGAGGAGTGTGCATTAGAGCTTGGGAAAAAAATCACTTCAGGTGGAGAACAGTACCCTTCCTTTAGTGCAATTAAAACAGGGACCAAAAGAACCGTATGCAGATTTTATAGCTCAGTTATAGGACTCTCTTAAAAAGGTGATTGCGGTTTTGGCTGCTCAGGGTATAGTTTTGCGGTTATTAGCTTTCGACAGTGCTAATCCTGGCTGCCAGGCTGCTCTGCGACCTATTAGAGAGAAAGCACATTTAGTTGATTATATCAAGGCCTGTGATGGTATCGGAGGTAATAAAGCTAAAGCTACATTGTTGGCACAGGCAGTGATGGGACTGAGAGTGGATAAAGGAAATCCTCTGTTCTCTGGAGCTTGTTTTAACTGTGGGAAGCGTGGTCATACTAAACAAGAAAGTAGAAAAAATCAGCGAATCAGGCTGCCAGACGGGGAAAAAAGAAAACTGCAGAGCCTGAAATATGTCCAAAATGTCAAAGGAAAACATTGGGCCGATCACTCACTCTAAGTTTGATAAAGATGGGAACCCAATTTCGGGAAATGCCGTGAGGAGCCCGTCCTGGGCTCCGTTCCAAACCAGGGCATTTCTGGCTCAGGCCACTCCTTCACCCCTGTACAATGTTTGTCCCCCACCACAGCCAGTGGTGCCACAGTAGATTTATGCTGCACAATAGCTGTGAGTCTTCTGCCTGGGGAGCCCCTGCAAAAGGTCCCAACAGGAGTCTGTGGACGCTTGCCAGCAAGGACAATAGGATTACTTTTAGGAAGATTTAGTTTAAATTTAAAAGGGGTACAAATACATGCAGGAGTCATTGATTCAGATTACAATGGGGAAATTCAAATTATCATATCTACTTCTGTTCCCTGGAAAGGGGCACCAGGAGAGCGCATAGCACAGCTCCTGATTGTGCCGTATGTGGGAACGGGGAAAAGTGAAACTAAACGAACAGGAGGATTTGGAAGCACAAATAAACAAGGCAGAGCAGCTTATTGGGTGAATCAAATTACTGATAAACGTCCTACCTGTGAAATAACTATTCAGGGAAAGAAATTTAAAGGTTTGGTAAATACAGGAGCGGACATTTCAATCATTTCTCTACAGCCCTGGCCATCCGTGTGGCCAATTCAGCCTGCTCACTTTAACATAGTTGGAGTTGGTCAAAGTAGTTATATTTTACATTGTGAAGGGCCCAGTGGACAACCTGGGACTACTCAACCAATTATAACTTCTGTACCTACACATTTATGGGGGAGAGATTTATTACAACAATGGGGAGCACAAGTTCTAATTCCAGAACAATTATATAGCCCTCAGAGTCAGCATATGATACATGAAATGGGGTATGTCCCTGGTATGGGACTAGGAAAACATTTCCAAGCTTTGAAAGAACTGCTTGAAGCGGGGAGACAAAGTTCCCGCCAAGGTTTAGGGTATCATTTTTGATGGCGGCCATTGTTAAGCCACCAGAACCTATACCTTTAAAATGGTTAACAGAGAAGCCAGTTTGAATAGAACAATGGCCGCTAAGTAAAGAGAAACTGGAGACTTTAGAGGACTTAGTTAATGAACAATTAGAAGAGGGACACATAGCTCCAACATTTTCCCCTTGTAATTCTCCAGTTTTTGTAATTAAGAAAAAAATCGGGTAAATGGAGAATGTTAACTGACTTAAGATCCATTAATTCAGTTATACAACCTATGGGAACATGACAGCCAGGATTGCCTTCTCCTGCTATGATTCCAAAAAATTGGCCTTTAATAGTCGTAGATTTATTAAAAGACTATTTCTTTACTATCCCCTTAGCTGAGCAAGATTGTGAATGGTTTCCATTTACAATTCCTGCAATAAACAACCTGCAGCTTGCTAAGCATTTTCATTGGAAAGTGTTGCCAAAAGTCAGGTTAAACAGTCCAACAATTTGCCAGACATATGTAGGGCAAGCAATTGAACCTACTCCTAAAAAATTTTCACAGTGTTACATTATTCATTATATGGACAATATACTTTGTGCTTCCCCCACTTGAGAAATATTACTCCAATGTTATGATCACTTGCAAAATTCAATTTCTGGTGCTGGTTTAATTACAGGTCCTGACAAAATTCAGACTACTACTCCTTACTCCTACTTGGGGACCTTAGTAAATGACACTACCATTGTGCCACAGAAAGTAGCCATACGTAGGGATCAATTAAAAACATTAAATGACTTTCAAAAATTACTAGGGGACATTAACAGGATACGACCTGCTCTAGGCATTCCTACCTATGCCACGAGTAATCTATGTTCTATCCTTAGAGGAGATCCTAGTCACACTAGCCCTCGGCAGTTAACGAAAGAAGCTGAGGCAGAGCTGCAGCTAATCAAAAAGCAAGGCCATAAAGCTCAAATAAATAGACTAGATCCAGAGAAGACTCTAGATTTGCTCATTTTTCCAACTCGCGTTCACCTGCTGGTGTTAGTGTCCAACAACAAGATCTTGTAGAGCAGCTTTCCCTCCACATCCTGATCCATGGTGTAGAGCGGCTCCCCCCCCACATCCTGATCCATGGTGTAGAGCGGCTTTCCCTCCACATCCTGATCCGTGGTGTAGAGCGGCTTTCCCTCCACATCCCGATCCGTGGTGTAGAGCGGCTTTCCCTCCACATCCCGATCCATGGTGTAGAGCGGCTTTCCCCCGCATCCTCAATTCACGGCGTAGAGCGGCTTCCCCCCCGCACCCTGATCCACAGTGTAGAGAGGCTTTCCCCCGCGTCCCAATCCGCAACGTAGAGCGGCTTTCCCTCCACATCCTAATTCACGGACTCTGACCCCTCATTTGGATCAAATCGCTACTGTGATAGGAAATGGGAGAACTAGGATTGTTAAATTACATGGATATGATCCTGGAAAAATTATTGTCCCTCTCATGAAGGCACAAATACAGCAAGATTTTGCAAATAGTATTACTTGGCAAACCCATTTAGCTGACTTTGTGGGTATTCTCGATAATCATTTTCCTAAGATGAAACTTTCAATTTTTGAAATTAACTAATTGGATTCTCCCTAAAATAACTAAATTTAAACCAATTGCAGGTGCTGGAATGTTTTTACAGATGAGCCTAGTAATGGTAAAGCTTCTTATTCTGGCTCGAAAGGTAAGGTTTTCCAGATGCCCTATACTTCAGCTCAAAAAGAGGAGCTTGTATCTGTAATTGAGGTAGTGACTGCTTTTAATATGCCTATTAATGTGATTTCTGATTTTTCATACGTGGTTCACTCCACACAGTTAATTGAAAATTCTCAGTTACGATTTCATACAGATGAACAACTGATGACTTTATTTACCCAATTGCAAACAGCAGTTAGGAGTAGAACGCATCCTTTTTACATCACTCACATTAGGGCTCATACACCTCTTCCAGGACCTTTGACTGCAGGGAATCAGATGGCCGATCGCCTAGTTGCTACTGCAATATCTAATGCCAGACACTTTCACAATGTAACCCACGTTAATGCCTCTGGTCTCAAACGCAGATACACCATTACCCAGAAAGAAGCTAAAGCTATTTCCAACGATGCCCAACTTGCTAAATGGTACGTTCCTCATCTTTTACAGGAGGAGTTAATTCTCAAGGATTGGAACCCAGTTCTCAAGCTCTAGCTACATTTTTCTCTACATGGAATATTAAACACGTTACTGGCATCCCATATAATTCTCAAGGACAAGCCATAGTGGAAAGAATGAATCTCTCCCTGAAACAGCAGTTGCAAAAGCAGAGGGTGGAAAACAGGGACTACGGGACACCCCATATGCAACTGAATCACAGTATTAACTTTAAATGTTTTGAGCCTGCCTAAAGGCCGGATGTTATCAGCAGCTGAACAGCATCTACAGAAACCAGCCGCAAAGATGGAAGCAGAACGACCGACTTGGTGGAGAGACCTGATAACAAAAAGTTGGGAAATAGGTAAAATAGTAACTTGGGGTAGAGGTTATGCTTCTGTTTCTCCAGGACTGAACCATCAAGACACTTGAAACCTTATCATGAGCCGACGCCGAGGAAGAGATTCTGGGAGGATCCCGAGGACCCCCTGGTTCCAGCCATGTTGAGACTGACACTGAGGGGGACCCCAACTGTCACGAGCAACACCTGTCAAACACAGCCACCGGGGACAGATCAAGAAGCCGTCACAGATGGCGGAAGAAACCCTGAGGAAAGCGGGACAGCCAGGCACAATGAGTAATTTAATGGTAGCTGTGACAGCGGTGATGACCATTGCTGTGAGTATTCCTTCAGCCAGGGCTGACACAGAGAACAACTGTACTTATTGGGCATATTTATCAATCTTGGCTGGCAGTAGTGCCTGGATGTAATCACTCTATGACACAGTTACACATGCTTAATAAATCTCCTATAATTGGGGCATACCACCCTCAAAAACCTATTTGTAAACAGGATTGGACCCGCTCAGAGAAAATGAACGTGCTTATTTGGGAAGATTGCCTTGCAAAATAGGCAGAGGTGCTGCACAATGATTCCTATGGAATCATTCTTCATTGGTCCCCTAAGGGGATGTGTAGCTTGAATTGCACGTCTCAGTCTGCGTGCCCCGGCCACACTGTGTTCAGCTGGTCTGAACACAACGGTCAGATGGTAGAAATGGTAAGAAATACGGCAAGAGTTCCTATTATCTGGAACCGTGGCGATGTAGTGGCACCTCAACCTCAAATGATATGGCCCACTGTAGGAGTTAACATAAGGATTTGTGGAAACTATTAATAGCTTTTAATAAGATCAGAATTTGGGAAAGAATAAAAAAGCATCTAGAAGGACACTCTACAGTCTTGTCTTTGGATGTTGCAAAATTAAAAGAACAAATAGTTGAAGCATCCCAGGCACACCTGACCTTACTGCTAGGAACTGGAGTGCTTGAAGGAGCTGCAGACAGATTAGCAGCTAGTAACCCATTAAAATGGATAAAACCACTTGGAAGCTCTGTGATTTCAGTGTTGATTGTGCTTTTAATCTGTGTTGTTTGTCTGTATAGTCTGCAGTTGCAGATCCTGACGCCTGCGAGAAGTAGCTCACCGTGACAGAGCGGCCTTTGCTTTTATCGCTTTGCAAAACAAAGAAGGGGGACATGTTGGGAACAGACCCCTCAGTGTGGCCATAAACTGGCCCCCAAACTGGCCATAAACAAAATCTCTGCAGCGCTGTGACACGCTCGTGATGGCCATGACGCCCACGCTGGAAGGTTGTCGGTTTACCAGAATGAGGGCAAGGAACACCTGGCCCACCCAGGGTGGAAAACCGCTTAAGGGGTTCTTAAAGCACAAACAGTAGCATGAGCAATCTGTGCCTTAAGGACATGTTCCTGCTGCAGATAACTAGCCAGACCCATCCCTTTGTTTCCCTTAAGGAATACTTTTAGTAAATCTTATAGTCATAAGCTTGTTGTCAATAAATATGTGAGTAAATCTCTGTTCGAGGCTCTCAGCTCTGAAGGCTGTGAGACCCCTGATTTCCCACTCCACATGCTATTTTCTGTGTGTGTGTCTTTAATTCCTCTAGTGCTGCTGGGTTAGGGTCTCCCCAACCAAGTTGATCTCGGGAGTAAATATTGAAAAGGAATCAATACAATTGCTATTATTTACAGATGTAATTTCCAAAAAATTCCCAGAGAATAAACTGAAAAATTAACAGAAACAAAACAAGAATGCAGTAAGGTGTCTGGATAAGAGATTTATATCTAAAAATCAGTAGCTTTGTGATGTGCCAGCAGTAATCTGCTCA